CTTGCCAACAACTCCAAATATCCTTTAATTACTTGCTTGGGGGAATGTGTTCTCACTCTTACTTCGCATGCAATTTGTATGCTAGCTAGAAAGTCCTTTCTAAACTCCCACATTCACTATTTCATGGCCCATCAAAGCGAGCAGCTCAACCAGGAACATATCATACCATTTCCTACATTTCTACCCCTGCACATGAAACGTCTTATCCTGAAAAAGTCCCACTCAGACAACTACACACAACTCACCAAAATCCCTCCTCCCCTGCCCTCACCCTGGCATGTTATAATAGGTCCTGTTCAGCTATCCATTTCCCCCACCGAGCTAGGGTTCATTGCTCCACCTTAGTGTTTCCACAGGACACAACACACAAAACCAAATTTTCAATGACTTTTAAAACTATTTTTTTCACCCTACTTCCCTGGCCCTTCATGTAATTTCTCTGCTTTATTTAAACCCTTTAGTGACTCCCACAGCCAAGAGCAGTGTTTTTCAAATTACCAGTTATCACTGGGTTGTTGTTAAAACAACTTATTGGATCTCAAATGTCATTCTTTCTTAAAAATAGAAAATATAACAGTGCATCACACACAAGGTATTCTTTTGTGACATTTTATCATTTATGTGTGTGTGCACTTGCTTGTGAGGTAAAAATGTGTATCTTACTGTAATGGGTCATTATCCAAAAAAAAAAAAAGCTTGAAACGCACCAGCTTTTGTTTGATCTACAAGTCCTGTCTCTTACCACATCCCACAGAGCCAAGTATGTCAAGCCCAACTTTTTGGAAGTGCCTTCTCTCGGTGCTGTAAATCACACTGCTCCCTCTGCCCTGAATGCCCTCTCATTTGTGCACCAGGCCCACCTGTTCTCATCTTTCATTATTTAATACCTATTACCTCTTCCACAGGAGCTTTTCTATCCTTCCCTCAGCAGCTACGGCTACACACACTTTGTATTTCTCTGATGCCCTGTACCATGGCCCCCCAGATATTTCAGCATACTTTCTAATTTCAGGCCTGTCTTCCTAACTTTTTTTTTTTTAATTTTTATTTATTTATGATAGTCACACAGAGAGCGAGAGAGAGGCAGAGACATAGGCAGAGGGAGAAGCAGGCTCCATGCACTGGGAGCCCGACGTGGGATTCGATCCCAGGTCTCCAGGATCGTGCCCTGGGCCAAAGGCAGGCGCCAAACCGCTGCGCCACCCAGGGATCCCTCTTCCTAACTTCTGAACTATAAACTCTCTGAAGGAAAGAGCACACATTACGAGTCTATCAGTAGCACTGAGCTGCTGAACAAGCCACAGAGAAGGAGTTCAACATTAGTCAAAGGAACAAATAAGGACTTGGATCTAAATACTCTGAGATCAGAAATGACTGAGTGACTGCCTTTTCAACAAAGCCCATTCAGATGCCAGTGCTGGATCAGGAGTTCCACATTTGCGCCTCAGCACAGGGAAGCCTGAGGCAGAAAAGAGGTGTCAGCTTCCTCTCTCCGCAAAGAAAGGACCCAGGTCAGGTTGCAATGCCGCAGCACCCACGTCCACGCTTCACGAAGTTCTCTGGGGAAAGGCAGAGAAGGGGGTTTCTAAGAGGTTCCCACAGGCAGGGGAGATAAATCAGAACAGCAGTATTAGATCTTATTAGCACGGAGAATCACATTCTACAAATAACTTTCAAGGAGGCAGCCAGAGGAGGGAGGAAGGTTCTCCACTCCCCGGGGAGGGCACGAAGCTGTCAATAGGGGCTCAGCAGAACGGAAAGCAGCAGGAAGTCCCTGCAGGAGTTCCCTGACTTCCGCTGCCTACTCCAAGGCTCTGAAGCAGTAGGCGGCTCCTGCTCTCCTAGAGACCCCGCTGGCGGGCAGGCGGACTGGGGGATCGCACCCGACAGGCCCTCCTCGCCAGGGCTGCGCAGCCTCTTGCACACCTTACGGCACCTACACGAATGCCCTCGTTCTTAGGGGCCGGATTCACCTATTTCCCGCGCCAACCCTTCACCTGCCTTCCCTGTCATTAAGAACAGGGCGGCAGCACCCAAAACAGCCTGACAGACTCTGCCAACTGTCCGTTTCAGCTGTTCTTTTCCATTTCCACGATGGTTCATAAACTACTATTATTGGAGCCAGGTTGGTTTCCTGCCTAGACTCATCACCAGTTTTCTTTAAAAATGAAAATAATACCCAGGGGCGCCCGGGTGGCTCAGCTGGTTCGGCGCCCAAGCCCTGACTTCGGCTCAGTTCATGACCTCAGGGTCCCAGGATCCAACACTGGATCAGGCTCCCCGCTCAGCAGGGGTCTACCTGAGACTCTTTCCCGCTCCCCCAGCCTCTGGCCCTCCCTCACTCAAGCTTGCCCATGAAAAGAATTCCTTTTGCTTAAACTTTGCCCCTAGATCTGCAATTATATCCACTGTTAAGATAAATTCTTATTATAACCTAACAGTCAAAAATGTATTTCATAAAATGTGAAAACTCTTCACCCACGATATTAAATTTTATATACCTGTCAAAGTAGGGTAATTTAGGATTGCTGGGTAAAACTTCAAAGGCAATTTAAAACACTCTTTCCTTTTGGGGCACCTGGGTAGCTCAGTTGGGTAGGCATCTGTCTTGGGCTCAGGTCATGATCTTGGGGTCCTGGGTTCAAGCCCCACATCCGGCTCCCTGCTCCTCCCTTTCCTTCTGCCCCTCCCCCACTGGCACACAGGCTGGCTGGCATGTGTGTGCGCTCCCTCAAATAAATAAAATCTTTAAGATCTTTCTGAAAGATTTATGTTCACACCATTTCCTTTTGGTTCAAATAGGTACAGGAGGTTACACTTACTCCGCAAACACTTATCAGGTATAAACACCACCAAGTGTGCAAACTTCCACAAATGCCTTCTCTGTGCTCTTCTACTTTCTCCCATTCAGCCTCTCTTGACAACTCAGGTGAAACAAAGTCACTATCAGTGAGCAAGAATCATAGCCATAAACACACACTTTTGGAAAACTAATGCCAGAAACTCCTCTTCCCCTCCAGTCTACTCCTGAAACTCTATTGGGAAGAGGACAAATAAATCAGTTTATCAATAGATTTAATTACGCTCAAGAACCAAAAATGTTCGCGATGTGTGGGGGCTTATTTTCATATTTTAACTACCAGCCCCCTTTGTAGCAAGTTTATCCCCAGACCTCCTTTGGTAAAATAGTGAGCATTCATGCAGCTTAAAGATCGTGGAAAACCGATTTTCTTTCCTGATGCTACCAATCTACAGTCTGGAGAGAACGCAGCCTTCCACATGAAAAACTGCCACTTGTGTTTTTTTTTTTCTCTCTCTCTCTCTCTCTCTCTCTCTCTCTGACATTTTTAAACAGAAGAGCTGCAGATTCTCAAGGGAAGCCATATTTCAAAGGTTTTAAATAGCAGTACTTTTCAGTATTTTCGCTTATTAAAATTGGTGCAATTCATCCAAAACATTTTTAAATGCCATTACTTTCCAGCTGATGTGTCAAAAAACTGCTTAGAGAAAACAATCTCTCCATCTGAAAAATCTACTTTAAGAAAACCAACTAGTAATCATTAAAACAGGAGAAAAAAAATAATTCAATTTTACAGATTGGAAAAAACTTAAAACTTATCATTTGATTCCTTCATTTTACAGAGAATAGAGTCCAGAGAGGTCAAATAATTTGCCTCAGATCACCAGGCTATGAATAGCAGCACTAAAATAGAATAAAGTATTTTAATTGCTTAGGCAGTACCCAAATCATGCAAGTTATATACATTCTCATTACTTGTCATTTAAGTTTTAAAAGCAATGATCAGTTTCTCAACCATTCCTGATGAAGACCTCCTACAACACATGCTCTACATTTTCAACCTCAAATTCTAACTCCAACAAAAAAAGGTATAGTACTATCCAAGAACTTTCCTCTGAAAGTTTCAAAGAAGAAAGCTGAGGTCGGCATACCCCCTAAACTGTCACAATAAGCTTTAATCTATCCTTTCAATCCTGTCCATTAATTACACTTTAGGTCTGTTTGTTCAACCAGAAAGAGAGAGAGAGAGAGAGAGAAAATTCTCGAAGTTCCCCTTCAACAAAAAACATGGGTAATCTGTCAATGAAATGACTACCTCATTGCTCCATTAATACATTAGGGGTTTCTGGCTTACATTACAGAGGGTCACTAGCATTTTCCCAAGTCACGGTGTGAAGAGTTAATGAAAGGTTGGAAAACACTCTTGGGTTGACTCTGGTACTGTTACGGTTTAGGTCCGACATTAACTAAGAACCCGAAGACCTGAGCTTAAGAGCAGATACACAGAGAAAGTGCAAGTTCCTTCAACAAAGAGAAAGCTTCTTCCTAATCCAAGCTCTGATCCACCAAGTGCACCGGCACCGTGGAGACGACATCAGTAGGAATTTCAGACCAAGGTTTTGGTGCCCCCAATAAATCAATTCTGCACGTTAGCTTTGGATATTCAAGGGCAAAACAGAGGGCACATGGGAGGCAACAATTTACACTGGATCATTTTCAAGGGCTGAAGTCCAACCACTCGTTACTTTACAATCGTTCCTTTGTGTGACTGATCCTTCTCCAAGTACTGAGGGAACGCAGTACTCCTCTCCCAGAGACCCCGGCAACACCACCTAACACACAGGAGGATTTTAACGACACACTGATTGCAGCAGGCTCAGCGGAGAAGTGCAGGACGCGCTGTCTTCGCAAATATTAGTAACAAACCTACATCCTCGTTACAGATTGTGTTTCTAATAATGTTCCTTCATCGTGACCCCTGGTGTCAACCTACAAAAAGAACTCGTTTAAAATAACACACCTACATTTTTGACCGAGGACCGGTGTAGCCAAGTGGCCCATCTGTCTGAAATCCTCAAACACCATCACCGCCACGGCTCAGCGCGCGCACGCGCACACGCACACGCGCGCACTCACACTCACACTCACTCACACTCACCCCGACAGCCTCAAAGGTGCGTTAGGCACTAAAAATCCTTACCCCATTTTGCCCAGTGAAAACTCGCTCTGAAGTTTCTGCTGTGCTGCTACAGAGTAACTTCCAAAGGAATGTCTCCGTCCTGCTATTTCGCAGTTGCTTTTCCACCCCCCGAGATCCTTTTTTCTGGAGGTATTTCAGTGGTGCTGATAACTCGATTAGATCCCTTGGGTGAAACGATCTCTCTCGTAAACACCGGAACGTTCAAACAGAGGCGGCATCTGCTTATTAGAGTTTAAATGCTGCGCGGAGGAGGCGGCGGTCAACTCTATTCCACAAAAATGAGTCTACGTGTGTCTGTCGGAAAACGCAGAATCCGGCTTCACCGAGTCCTATAAAAAATGAGTTCGGTGGTCATTCCGCTCTCGTCCTCCCCGACACTCCGGGAACGCCAGGCAGCTCGGCCTCTCGGCGCGACTAAGGCTGCGGGTTCGAATTCCTCCACCACACCGGCTCCCTTGGGGGGTGGAGCGTGTAACCCGATGCGACGTGCGTGCACTTTGTACAGAGATTCCCTACGAGAAAATAAAAATCCTAAAAGCAGCAATGCCACTGCTTCCCTGCGCTCACGTTAGAAAAAAAGCTATGTAGAAAAAAACCTCCTCGACGTGCAAGCCCGGAGCTCGCGCCGTGCACGGCGCTCCACATCGGAGCCGGTCTCTCCGCGTCTCCCCCTCCTAAGGCTCGGAGCGGAGAGGAGGGGGGGAGGAGGGCGAGGCGGCTGGGCAGGGTCGACTCACTGTCCCCAGGAGAACCCGCGGAGCCATCTCCAGGCCGGCAGCAGGCTGGGGCCGGCGGCCCGATCCCCCCCCGTCAGCCCCTGCCCGCCCCGCGCCGCCCAGCACAATGGAGCCCGGCGCGCGCCCGGCCCTTCATCCGCCGCTGCCGGCGTCCCTCGGCTCCTCGGGGCTCCGCGGCTCGGAGGCTGCCGGCGGCGGAGAGGGAGCGCGCCGGAGAGCCGAGCCCACGCCGCCCCCGGCGCCCGCTCCCGGCGCCAGGGCGGGCCGAGCTGCAGGGCCCCGAGCGTCGGGGCAGCGGAGCGGGGCTCGCGGCCGGGGAGAGCCGCTGCTCCAGCGCCGCCGCCGCGCTGCTCGCCCCGCGCGCCCCCGCCGCCGCCGCCGCCGCCGCCGCCGCCGCCGCCGCCGCCGCCGCACGCGCCGCCTCCTCACACTCCCATCACCGCCCGCCGCCGCCGCCGCCGCCGCCGGCCTCCAGCGCCCGCCCGGCAGAGCAGCCCGCCGCCGCCTCCTCCGGCCGCTCGCGGGGCGGAGGGCGCCGCTTCCCGGGTCAGCGCCGCCCGCGACAGCCGAGCGCGGCGGCCAGGCGGGCTGCGGAGGGCGGCGGAGGGGGCCGAGGGGGCGGGGAAAACCGGGGGGCGCGAGCGGTCCCTCCCCCCGCCGGCGGGGGGCGGCGGGCGAGGAAGCCGCGGCCGCGCGGGGCCGTCAGCCCGGCCTGCCTTCCTGCCTTCCGGCCCTCCCGCTTCCCCTAGTGGCCGGCGGCGGGCGGCCCGTGCGCTCGGCTCCTCCGCGCTCTCCCAGCCCCGCTCCCGGCCGCCGCAGCCTCCTCCGCGCCCCACGCCAGGTGCTCGCGCTCTGTCTCCATCCTCCCCGCAGGAGGACCTTTAAATAGCCACGTCAGCGCGCTCCTCTCCGCACGCACGTCACCCGCCGCTCTCGTCACCCGGTGCGGGGGATGATGTCACGCGGCCGGAAGTACTGCTAAATTAGGGAAGCCGCGGGGGGGGGGGGCGCGGGGGGAGGACGCGGCGAGCGCCTGTGTGCCCACCTGCTCCCCGCTCCTGGAAGGCCGGAGCGCCGGGACCGCCCGAGAGCAGCCCCGGGAAGGAAGCGGCGGGCGGGGAGCGCCTGGCAGCGACTGTGCGGAGCGCCAGTGAGTCATCCGTGGCAACCGCGCCGAGCGCCGGCGGCCGCCCCCCGTCCCTCGTCCCCGCCCCCGCAGCCGCGCGCGTCCCGGGCTTCCCGAGCCGCAGGGGCGCGGAGATGCGGGACGGGAGCGCGACCACCGCTGCGGGACGTGTGTCCCACCAGACTCGGGAAGAACCACCTTAGTTTTCGGAAGGGCTGTTCGGTGCCGTTCTGCACACAGCGGACCGGAAAACTTTTCTCTCCCCTCTTAGTGTGTCCCCAGATCGCGAGGGAGCAACGGGCAGAGCTCCGGGCGAGGGGTGCGGGGGCACAGGTTGGAGGGAGAAGGCCGGCGAGTGATCCGAATGGTCCCATTTGCGTAATAGCGACATTTTGGCGTGAACGGCGGTGAGGCCGTCTCCGCTTTAAAAGTTCACTCTTAATTACTGTCCTTTTTATAGCAAAAGCCGGTATGCCCTGTCAGTTCCAGCTTATCAGGAGTATGAGGTCCAGTCTGTGAAAATCAGAAACGAGGAAGACCACCAGAATTTTTTTAGATTATCGACGCAAGTTCATTTAGATTGTTTTTGTATTTTTTTTAGTTCTCCCTAAGCACCGTACATGTGAGCATTTATTTACAGTATGTAACATGAAATTATAAATACGGCTTGTTTTTCATTTCCTATAGGACAAGAGTGAGTAGTCCTCTATAGGCCTACTAGTTAGGTGTGCTTGTGCCTATAATAAAGCATATTATGAACGCTTTTCAAACTAATTACTACAAAGTTTTCAAATGTCCTGTTTTGATAGCTTATTATTGGGTAGTCTCAAATAATGGACTTTGGTTTGGTTTAATTTGATGATCATGACCCAGAAACGGGATTACTACATAAGGCTAAAGGCCTTTGCTATTTCAGGGTTGGTCTTGGAATTCATTGGCCACATTTTCCAAGCTGAAATCTGTACACGCTTTTAACAACAGACAAAATATTGGAAATCTGAAGTGACCTGGAAAATCCAGGACATGAGATTACCAGCCTATTAAGTGATTAAGGGAGCTATAAATGGATATCCGTTTAAATATAAAAAGCCAAAACTCTATATAACCTATATCATGTATTTCTTTGATTTTTTTTTTTTTGGATGTTAAACTACTCACATGATTCCTAATTAAGGAGATTGGTTTGCCAGGGTTTTGCCCAGTTTTAAAGGACACCAGCCAAAAAAGTTAGGGCTGATTTGCAACCAAGTCTGACTTTCAGCTATCTTCACATTATAAAATCATGATCTTGCTTATAATTTGAAATATTGAAAATAGTTTTTTTAAGGTTATAACAAGGTTAATAAAAGCAAACCCCTGCTTGCCAGTTTGCCGGATAACCTATCATCACATTAATAGAAAGGGGTACTAACTTACATTTCAGATAAATGGGAGCTTCTTAGGTATAAAATATTAAAACAATAAAACTGTCATTCTTCAAACAATGTCGTCCCGTGGCTCTTGCAAATTAAAACACAAATTTAGTTATTACTCTATAAAATTTCTCCACAAACTACTTACTATCTGAACTAAATCACTCTTCCCTTTCCTGCTCTTTCCATTAGTCTGTTAATTAAGCTCTCACTTTACTATTTTCAAACACTTCATTCTATCCTTTTATCAGAAGTTCCTCTAGTTTACAATCCTATCGCCCCCACATCTTTACCCAACTGTCAAAACAGCACTTCAGCTGCCTCCTTGCTTTTATAATGCTGACCCTTCATTAGAGATTCTACTTTTCAAAGCTACAGGGTCTCTTCTTTTGTCGCCTTGAAATTGAGGGCAACTTTTTTCCAATGTGAGTCGAATCTCCGTATTATGATATAATTACCCAAAGTTTTTGTGGTTATTTAACGTCAGCCTCTGCTCTCAACCTAGAAAAGTCTACCAATAGTTGGTCAGTTTTTCTTTCTAGCTGGAATGGGATTAGTATAACAGAATATATATGTCTGTGTACCCAAGGGAAGAAGTAAAACATGTTAGGTATCATACAATATCTGCTCAGAAAATAATAATAATAAAGTAAGTGTTTTTTCTGCTCTCTTGAAACAATTCCAACACAATTTTGAGAGGAGTCAGAAAATCATTCTATGGCTTTCCATCTAAAAGTAAATATCGCCTTAAACTGAGCGGAGATAACCCAAATGCTAACCATGAATTTCCAACCCTGATTGCTTTGCATGTTTTTTAAAGTAGTGAGCTTCCTAGAAAGTAATATATTTTCTTTTCCCGGAAGAGGTAGAAAGTACTTTAGTAGAGTTTCAAATTTTTCACAGTTCCTGTTTCCCACTACACTCTGAAAATTTGTGGAGAGGTTTATGAATACCCTCTGATTTTAGAACCTGTGGGCGAAGGCATCTGTTTTAGTTACAGAGTTTACTTCCATGCCCTTAATAGGAGATGGCAATATTCAATGGGATGTTCATAGATTGGTCATGAGATCTGTCTTTTTCAATGAAAAGACATCGAGAAGATTGAAAGACTTTGCAAGAAAGAGGCTTAAAATCAGATTTTTTTTTAATTGCTTAACATCAGGTAATAGCAACTCCCTTTCAAGTTGCCTCTTTTTCATTACCAAAATACCACTGTTGCTTCAAATAAAATCGTAGGTAGAAATAATATATTAAAAGATATCTCAGCATACAATAGAAATCTCAAGATTCCTAGTTTATGCCACGTACTTATAAAGAGACTAAATAACCAGCAACGACTAGAAGTAATAATACCAGAAAGAAGGAAAGAGTTGTAGGGAAACAGAATTTATCTAGTTGATTCTCCAATGTCATCTCACCTCCCCCACAATATAACAGATATTAGGTGGCAGTAAAATGTGTTTGGCCTGTTAAAACCATATTTTATTATTTTTAATAATGTTCTGAACAAAAATAGAGTAGTTAGGGATCCCTGGGTGGCCCAGCGGTTTAGCGCCGCCTTCAGCCCAGGGTGTGATCCTGGAGACCCAGGATCGAATCCCACGTCAGGCTCCGTCTGCCTGTGTCTCTGCCTCTCTCTCTCTCTCTCTCTGTCTCTCATGAATGAATAAATAAATAAAATCTTAAAAAAAAAAAAAAACAGAGTAGTTAATGATCTCAGGGATATAAATGTATAAGTGTTTGGCATCTCCAAGGTGATGGATGGAGGACAATTTTTACTCTTCTGAGTTTGTGCACTATTTTATTAGAGGGCTTGGGAGTGGTGGAGGGAGACAAATTAGGGAATTATCCTCAGGAATGATACGATATAGAACATATGAGAGATAATCTCATAAAATTATTTTTTGCCCTGATTTTCACTGTAAATTCATTATTTGTTTTCTAAATATGGTAGAAGAGATGCACATATAACCCCAGACTTATTCAAGAACGCACCAGAAAGTTTTGGGTTGGTGCTGTGAGAAAATCACTGTACAACTGTATATGTGAATTTCTAAAATATTTAGAATAGATAGGGATATGGTGCCTTTGAAAAAATTACCTGGCTTAAATTCAGGTTGATTGTTCAAAGCAGCAATTACAGAGAATAGGCTGGAAAAATATGCAGATCTGCAGAGAGCAACAGTAAAGAACGTTGAGTAAAAGCTTGTGCTATACCTGTGTGGTTACTTAGAATGGAATGCTGTGGAAGCTGATTGCCATGGTAACCAATAATCTTTTTCCTGAATGGGAGAACAGGACAACCATGGGGAAAATGTTTTAAATGAGCTACCTTATTCTGTGAGTCTTCTGGTGCTAGCTAGGAGAAAAACAACACCCAAGGTATTTAGGCTAGCCATGCTTAAAAAAGGAAGTTGCATTCTTCACAAATAGACAAGTCTGAAGCAGAAATTGGGGGCTATTTCAAAGGGAGATAAGGGCTTCAGATGGCAATTGGAAAGCCTCTGAAGCAGAACATAATTGGTAAAGACTCTGACATGACTAAAGAGGGCAGAAGCAATACCTAGAAACTGTTCTAAGGTTCTCCCAAGCATAAGAGGTCAGACATAGGGACGCCTGGATGGCTCAGCGTTTAAGCATCTGCCTTAGGCTCAGGGCATGATCCTAGAGTCCAAAGATCAAATCCCACATCAGGCTCCCTGCATGGAGCCCGCTTCTCCCTCTGCCTGTGTCTCTGCCTCTCTATGTCTCTCATGAATAAATAAGTAAAATCCTTTTTTTTTTTTTAAAAAAAAAAAAAAAAGAGGTCAGACATAAAGATTCTTA